GGTTGGGGTGAGAGAAGGAAGACAGGATAAAAGACATGCTGTGGAAGAGAGACAGATTAATTCAAACATGGAATTAAATACATGACAATGTCAAAGTTCAGCTTTAGTGAAAATTGTTTCAAGTTACTATAAACAATATCAATTAAATTGTAATAATTTAAATTAAAGTTTGAAAAATAGTTAAACAGATTCTTTAACTTTTTTAATTAATTAATTAATTTGAATATTAATATACAGTGAACAATGACGCTCAAATTTTTGTAAATAATGCACAAACAATAATTGGTATGCTGCATTAACATTTTAAGCCCCACTCTGTATGTGTGTGTGTATATAAGAGAGAGAGTGTGTGTGTGTGTGTGTGTACTGTTGTCACCTGTTTGCTGTTTTGGTGTGGGTGAGACCCTTCTCTTTAGATTGCTTTTTGTGTGTCTTTGTGTGCATTTGAAAGGGGTGTGTGTTGCAATTCTGTACATAATCACGTGCTTCACTTTGTTAAAAAAACAAAAGATGTTCCTGTTTCTGTGTCAGTGGATCTGGGAAATGTGACCGATGCTAAAGAATAGATTACAGCAGGTAAATAACTTTTTCCTCTCTTCATGTTTGTATTCTAAATCATACATAAATGACTTGTGTGCTTTTCATAGTTTAGTCTCTGTATGTATAAGTGGTTCAGTTTAGTAAATCATCAAGACTGTCATTACTTACTACATAAACATATCTGCCTTGCTCACTGGTGCAGGCTATGTGAATATATTTAACAGTGTGCATATTATTATGAAGTCACTTTGGGGTGTAAAACTGTGGACTTGATCCATTTATGTGTGTGCCCTTACCATTCTCGGTTTGCAATCATAATTGAAAGCATGATTGTCAAGTCTTTTTTTCTTTTCTTTTTTGTGGGAAGCAACAGAATCAATTTGATGATCTCATGTTGGAGATTTGACAACCTTTTAATGTAATAAAGCTAAACCTGAGATCAGTTAGTTAGCATTACCATAACTTCATGCCCACAATGCATTTCTACTGTGTTGACAGATATCCACTGAAGTTAGGGTGGTGTTACATGAGCATCACACTCATGTAACACCACTTGTGAGCACAAGATGGTGCAAGTCATTAACACTTTATTCTTAAAGGGAAAAAGGAAAGACTCACAAATGGGGTAAGGCTAAAACATAATTAAGCACTTGGATTTTCTAAAGGGCGATTTAAAAAGGACCTTTACGAAAAATAAGTTTAACAAGATCACCACTGAACAGTCTTAATTTTTCTCCACTTTTAATCTGTCTTTTCATAAGAGGCTGTTGTAGATCAACGACGCATCTCAGCTCACCTCCTTTACCTAACCATCTTGGGTGTGATATAAGCCACGAATGAGGTTTCTGTCAGCAAGAAGGATTTAAGTCTCACAGTGATTCTGTCTCACCACACTTCAGGAGCTTTATTGTCATTCACATCACATGTTAACATGAGGTGGAACAAACTTATGTACACACGGTCACGGAGCGAAAAGAAACAAAATAATGAAATTTTTTTTTAAAGTAATAAATAAATAGTTTGGGGTTTTTTTGTTTGGTTTGGGTTTTTTTTGTTTTTTGTCTTTTAACAAACAGAATAACAAGTAATAAAGCAATAAAATAAATTATACGATAAGTAGAGTGCAACCACCAACAGATTACGACATGATCGAAGCTTTATCACTAG